AGTCATGATTATAGAGATTTATTAGGGACGTCAACAAGTCAGGTTGAGGAAGCATTATAAGGATATAGTCCTTGTGTCTACAGGACCACCTGCCAGCCATGACATGTGTCTCTGCTCCTCAGCCTCTCGTGCACACTTTAGGTTTTTTAAGTCTTTGCACATTTCACTATATTTGGCTTTGTCTTCTCAAGCTGCCCTTTGAAATTTCCTATTCAGCTCGTTGTCTTCATTCTTCTTCCATTTGTTTTAGATACTCTACAACTAATAGCAAGTTTCAGAATCACTTCTGACATCCACTTTGATCTTTCTTTCCTTCCTGGTTTTTAAAATGGCATTTTGCTTTCTTCATGAATGATGGTCTTGATGTCTTCTCACAGCTCATCAATTCTTCTGTCATTAGTGTTCAATGCATCAAATCTGTTCTTGAGATTTTCTTGACATTCAAGTAAGATCGATTCAGGGTTTTATTTGGACTCTTGTGGACTTGAATTGTCTTCAGCTTTATCCTGAACTTACATATGAGCAATTAATAGTCTGTTCCTGGTTTTAGCTAGCTGTTGATATTGAGCTTCTCCATCATCTCTTCCTACAGATGTAGTTAATTTGAATTCTGTATTCCATATGGATAAGTCCATATGAATATTTAAGTTGTCTTTTGTGTTGATGAAAAGATATTTGCTATAAACAAGTTGTTGGTCTTGCAAAATTGTATCATGGGATCTCCAGCTTCATTTCTTTTCTTTACTAATGTACTGAAAATGTTTATATTTAGCATTAGCCAGCTGAACTCAGTTTAGATGACTCTGATTTTGTTGCAACATCTAAATTATCAGTCAGGGCCCTGTCAAACATATGCCTTCTTCTCATTGTTAGGCCTCATCAAGGTCTTGACCTTGGCTGTGTCAATGTCAACGAGCTGTCACAGCCTGTTTGATGTGGTACTCGTCGGCCTTGACATCCACAGTGAACATAAGCGTGATGTTATCTTCAGTCTTTTTTATGGTTGACTCGGTGGTCAGGGGAAACTTGATGATGGCACAATGGTCGAGCTTGCTTATCCTAGGAGTGCTCTTCTGAGGGTATAGGGCTGTCTTCTTAGCCTCAAGGACTTGGGTTGTTGGAAGATGGGTGACTTTTGTATTTGTGTGTGTGTGTGTGTAGCTTTGGAAGCCTTTCAGCACCGCCTTCTTGGCTTTTAACACCTTTGCTTTGGCATCAGTTTTGAGCGGGGCAGGAGCTTCCTTCTTTGCCTTTAGTGCCATCTTCATAAAAAGGCCCAGCTTCATTTCTATCACCCAGTCCATATTTTCCAACTACTGTTCCTTTCTCTGTGTTTCCAACTTTTGCATCCCAATTGCCAATAATTATCAATGCATCGTGATTGCATGTTTGATCAATTTCAGACTGAAGGCGTTGGTATAATTGTTCAGTTTCTTCATCACTAGCGTTTGTGGTTGGTGCATAATAGTTGTATTGATTGGATTTTCTTAAGGCAGATAGATATAATCCTATCCCAGACAGCATTGTACTTCATGATGGATTTTGCAAGTCTCCTTTTTGACAATGAATGCCATGCCATTCCTCTTGATTGTGTTAGTCCCAGCAAAGTAAACAATACAAGTTTCTGATTTAAAATGGCCATGTTAGCTCACTAATGCCCAGGGTCTCTAAGTCTTAATGCATTCCATTTTGACCAATTACAATTTTCCTAGCTTCATACTTCACACATCCTAACTTCTGATCGTTAGCAGAATTTTGCAGCTGTTTCTCCTTACCTTGAGTCATGCCCCATCGGCAAATGAAAGTGCTAATCCCCAAGGCTCCACTCCCACAGGCTTTATCTGACTCCCTTCATTATGGTTGCAACTGAGAAATCAGTGCCTCCTCAGTCACAATTTGAATGCTCAACAACCGGAGGGGCCAATCCTCCAGCACGATCTCTGACAAGGTTCTGCTTCCATTCATTCGGCTTAAAGTATCTGACATGTTTCAAAGCTATGTTTAAGGTTTTCAGCAGCTCCTTCCTCTGACGTGGGGAGTTGAGTCCCTCTTCATTGTTCTGAGTCTGGAGGCTCTGCTGAAACCTGTTCACTTTGGGTGACCCTGCTGGCATTTGAAATACCAATGACATGGCTTCCAGCATCACAGCAACACCCAAGCCTCCACAGGATGACAAGCTGACAGTTCATTGGTGGTTCACATGCATATGAAGTGAATTTAAATACCATGGCTTGAGCCAGGGTCACCTTAGTCCTCAAAGGGACATCTTTGTAACAGTTTAAAGAGGGCTTGTGTAGCAGATTTGTGCAGTACAATACATCCTTTGATTTCTTGGCTGCTGTTTCTATGATCATTGATTGTGGATCCAAGTAAAATGAAATCCTTGCTAATTTCAATCTTTTCTCCGTTTATTATGACGTTGTCTGTTGATTCAGTTGGGAGGAACTTGTTTGTCATTGTGTTGACCTACGGTCCATCCTGAAGGCAGCGGTCTTTGCTCTTCATCAGCAAATCCCTCCAGTCCTCCTCACTTTCAGCAAGCAAGGTTGTGTTATTTACATCACTAACTATTAATAAACCTTTCTCCAATCAGATGCCAACTTCTTCATATAGCCCAGCTTCTCAGATTTGGGTTTTCTTTTCTTTTACATTTATATTTATAAATCATTATATTGGGAACTCTTACAGGTCTTATAACAAGAGATTTGGGTTTTCTAGGTTGTAATATTTATGGAAGCAGATTGCTATATCTTTCTCTCATGGAGTCATTGGGTTCTAATAGACGACCTTCAGCTTAAGCTAATCACTTAACTATTGTTCCACCAGAGCTACTTACTGTAATCATAAAGGTTCTTAAAAATGAGAGAAGGAAGCAGGAATATCAGAGAGTTGAAGATACTACACTAGTAGTTTTGAAGGTGGAGGAAGCAGCTGTTAGCCAAGGAATGCAGGCGACCTCTTGTTATGTGCCGCCTAGTTGATAGAGTAGAACTGTCTGGTGGGGCTTTTTTTCAACAGTTTTATTGACATGCAATATACATATCATACAAGTGAATAGTTCAATCATTCAATCATTTCAAGGGAATTGTACAATCAGAACTTCATCTATCTTAAAGCATCCCTACTCCCACCTCCACCCCAACCCACCCCTGAGGTTTTTCTAGGCAATAATCTTTATGGAAGCAGACTACCAGGTCTTTCCCTCTTGGAACTTCGAGGTAAATTTGTACTGCCGTTTTTCAGTTAGCAGACAAGTCTTTAACTGTTGGATCTCCAGGGCTCTTTAGGAGGTGAGATGTAGTCAATTCATAAGGCTGTTCTAGCAATGGTCCCTTTATGTGATGTATTATAAATTTTGGTCTCTATCTGTGGCTATAATCTCATTTTGGTGGAAGTTGTCTTCTATGCTAATGCACAGGATTAAGTCTCTACCTCGGTAGAGGGTATGAACCAAGTCACCACGCTTTGTTTCCTTGGAGTTATGGTCAGCTGAAAGACAAAAGCCACACCTGCAAATAAGAATGAGCCATCTCAGACGCAGTAACACAGAAACCCTAGGACCAGCAGAATAAGCGTCACCAGTGGAGGATGTACAAGACCTCTACCTGAAGTGTTGAAGACTGAGGCCAGAGGTACGAGAGGCTGCGGCACAGAGGCCCTGGGACAGCGCAAAGGAGCCAGGCCAAGACCAGAGCCTGAGACAGACCATGAGAAAGACGAGGGGAGCACTGCCAAGACTGTCAAACTGCCCAGACTGTCAAACCGCAAGGTAGAGCAACAGGCAAGCTTTTTGGCCCACAAAGGTAGAAGACAAGGGACCATGTGGCTGAGAGGCTGAAAGCTAGAGAGAGATTTGGCTGCTGGCTAAGAAAGGTGTTGCTGTGGGTCAATGAACATATCCTAATGTTTTCTGATCCTGGCTTGTGATAACCTGTTAAGTTCATTAATAATCTCCCATCATTGTGAGTATTGTCTGCGAGTGCTGTGTGGCCATTGCAATGAATTCTCAAACTCAGCAAAGAAGTACAGTGGAAGGAAAGTTGTTTTCAGAATAGGTAAAGAAAGATGGAGGGTGGAGGCATGTTTGACCTTTGCCTCTTGGCAACAGGGAACCCAGAGGTGGTGAGCTATGTCCCCTCTATGCCTTATTCACAGGTGGCTTCTAAAAGCTAGAAAAGTGAGAGAAGTGGACTAGCTTTTCGTCTCTCTAGAAGGAACACGGCTGTGCTGACATCTTCGTTTCGGCTTGGAGAGACCCATTGAAACCTCTGCTCTCTAGAGCTGTCAGGTAATCAATTTGTGTTGTCTTAAGCCATTACATAGACAGATACAGCAATTCATTACAGCAGCAACAGAAATCCTGGACAAAGACAAGACATCCTGATGCTGTTGTTCATAATAGTCCAAACCCAAGGACAAAGAGCAGGGTTGAGAAAGCAAGAGAGTAAAGCCACGGGGCAAATAAAAACTAACAACACAGCTTCCCTGTTTTAGTCCTTATTATATATTCCAGCTTTAGCGCAAATAGAATATTTGTGTTCTCAAGTCACACCATGCTTGAGATGATGTCCATCCAGACATAAAGCTACTGAAACAAAAACAGCCACTCTTCCTTCCACCTAAAAAAAAAGTCCAACCAAACTTGATGCTGTTTTAACTTATGGCAACTTCAGTGTTATGGAGCAAAAAAGCTCCATCGGCCTGTTTGTCTGTAGAGACATTAATTGCAAAGTCTCCTGTGCTACTGCTGAGTGAGTTGGAATAACCAAACCGTAGGTTATGAGGCAATCACAAACAGCCTGCCAGCAGTACACTGACAAGGAGCTGCCAGAGGTTCAGGCCAGATTCAAAAGAGGGCCTCGACAAGGGACATCATTGGTGATATCAGATGGATCTTGGCTGAAAGCAGAGAATACCAGAAAGATGTTATTTGTGTTTTATTGACTATGGAAAGGCATTCAACTGTGTGGGTCATACAAAACTATGAATAGGCTTGAGAAGAATGGGAATTTCAAAACACTTCATTGTACTCTGGTACATTTTGGTAACTCCAAAATGTTATGCCAACTTGGAAAAACAATGAAGGAGGGGAGTCTAGCCGTCAATCAGGTTACAGCTTGACTGATCCCTCCTTGTGGGCTTGGCCTTCTCATGAGGATTCTGGGAACTTCTTCTTCTCTAGAGGTAGGGCATACTCTCTCTGTTACACAATCTGTTGACAAGCCATGTGGAACTTCCTGATGGCAGCCAGAGCCCTGGAGATGCTTCTGCCACCACTAGATCCACAAGACTTTCCACCCACAGGCCTGTGATCTTGCTGCATTCAGCATCATTGCATGTGTTGCATGAGAAATTTATAGACTGGTATAGGACTAATACTGGATTTATGGACTTGATCTGGACTGGGTTGGGATATTTTCTTAATATACAATTACTATTTTATATAAAACTCTCTTTCATACACATATGAGTGACCCTGAATTTGTTTCTCTAGTCAACCCAGAATAACACATACCTGTACATGCATCAAGAGGCAATTGTGCAAATAGAACAAAGGAACACTACATATTTTAAAATCAGCAATGGTGTGTGTCACCATTGTATCCTCTCTTCATACTTATTCAGTCTGTATGCTGAACAAAT